ATTCTCTCCCCTATCCCACCGGGTGGGGTGTGTGGGGCTCAGCTGCCAACTGGGGTTAAACCAAACAGAGGTAGATCTCCAGGGTGCAGAAATCTCTGCAGTTCTGCCCACGCCTCTTGCGAACCAGAGCATCGTTGTTTGTCCTTTTTACCATGATCTACCCTGCCCTGTAGCAGGAATTATTTGAGATTCCCACTGACCGCTAATTAGCAAAAAGCCCTTGAGAGCTGAGTTGCTCTAGGAAATTTACCTTTTGACCTTGTTTTCTAAATAGGTTAAGCACGTGCATAACAAACTGGTAATTATCAGGTAAGGCTGGAACACTCAAACTTTGGGCTAGCCTGAATTAATTAGGTATTTCCAATCACAGAGATGTTCCACTTACGTGGCACCTGTGCTCTTAAAATTGAAATCCTAGGGCCTGTGATGAGCTTGTAGCCTCAGAGGAATCCTCCGCAGGAAGCAAAGTGAAGCAACGCTTTTGTATTTAATGGTATGCCATAGCAGCCTCCGTATATATTACAGAAACCCAACATGCAGCAGCCAAGGGGAGTCTTAAATATTCCTGCCTCGATTGCTATGGTCAGAAGGAATTAATTGTTCCCAATCCTGTGCATACTAATGTATCCAGGAGGTTGCACATTGGTACCTTCCAGATATAACCGATGTATGCTGACAGCTCTTCCACAAACCCTTTGGTATAGGGGAGTAAATGTTCTTGTGATTGCTCTTGGGAGATATGGAAAGCCAAAATCTGAGAACCAGAGTCCCCTACTCCCAGTGTTGTTCTTGTTGCCTGTAAATAGAAGCATTTTCTGCCATGCTTTGTAACTTCACCTGCTACTGTCGTTGTGGGCTGTTGCACTGAAGTCAGAGAAGGACTTGCAAACTTTAATTCTTCTTTCCTTCTTGCCGTAGATGATACAGATGACCCAATGGAAATGAAGGTAAAGCGTGACCACTCTGAAGAAAATGTATCAAAAGGAAAAGTGGCCAGGATGACAGAACAAACCGAGATCCCATCAGGGATTACCCGTGGGGAACCAAAAAATGACAAAAGGGGAGAGCCAGAGGCCAGCTGAACTGGACAAACTGTACTCACTACTTTGCCCTGCAGATAGTGCCACTTGTTTGTGAACTGACCTCCAAGAAAAGTGTTGTCTCTTGAATGTGTTTGTTAGTGTAGTTATGTTTAAGGAAATTGTCTGTCTGTGAGTGGCTTACAAGCCGTTTGTTGCAGCTGTTAGGTAAATTCAAGAGGTGACTGGTTTTGTCAGGATGTGATGCTGTAGAATTGTTCAAATCCACTGGATGTTCGTGCATCCGTATAAATAGTTTTAGTGATAAATACTAGTCTTTCCAACATGCCAGATTGTCATGGTTTAACCCCAGCCAGCAGCTAAACCCCATGCAGCCGCTTACTCACCTCCCCCCCCCGGGGGGATGGGGGAGAGAATCGGGAGGGCACAAGTGGGAAAACTCCCGGGTTGAGATAAAAACAGTTTAATAATTGAAATGAAACAAAGTAGAACAGTAATAATAACAATGATAACAATAACAGACTATACAAAGCAGGCAATGCACAATGCTCGCCAACCGTGTGTCACGAATGGGGGGGGAGCCCCCTGCCCCTCCCCCCCCCAGGTTTTTATACCGAGCATGATGTCACATGGTATGGAATACCCCATTGGCCCGCTGGGTCAACCGCCCTGGCTGTGCTTCCCCCCCTCCAGAGCTTCCCCTGCACGTGGCAGGGCATGGGAGGCTGAAAAGAGAAACCAAAAGCCCAGCAACAACCAAAGCATCAATGGGCCATCAACGCTCCTCTCATACCAAACCCAAAACACAGCACACCCCCCAAGCTACTGGGAAGAAAGTTAACTCTGTCCCAGCCGGAACCAGGACACAGATAAATGTCAGTTGAAGAATATATGCACATTAATGTGATCACACATTAGTGTTAAAAGCTTGATTTGCCTGTCTTGTAGAGACAGAGGTTTAGGGATTTTCAGATAAGGTTTTTAAGTTCACAGTTTGTGCTTGCAGTCCCCAGTTTGGGGAGATACAGTTGAAGGAGATGCAGCCTGTTGTAAGGGTGTGTGTAGTTCTTATGACTTAAATGGGACTGCTTATGCATTTTAAGGGCAACATTGCAAAATGTCTCACTGAATTAGGGCTGATGTACAACTTTCTTCACCATCGCTCTCCTTCTTGGCTAATTCCTCTACAACTGTAGGGTAGATATTATTTCTATCATGTACCACATGTAAAAATTTACCCTTCCATTGAAATGTCTCATTGTGAAGTTTCACAAGGCTGGATTAGTCAATTATCTTTGTAATGGGTGGGGTTTTGGTGGGGGTGGGGGGATTGGAGTGGGTTTTTAATCACTGTAGGTACTGTTTTTAGTTTTAAAAGAAATAAAAATTATTTCCGACATGAAAATGTAAGGTCTGTAGAGCAATCTGTTATCACAATTGCCATCCATCTGTCCTCTTTGGAAACCTGGCTGCCAGACAACTCCAGC